AATAATAATAATAATTATTATTATTATTATTATTATTATACAATAATGTGTGGACTCACTTGCTTTTAAAAATGTCTTTTGGTTTATGCTCATGTCTTTGTGTTCTTTCAAAATCTTCTGTTTGTACTGGCATTGCTCCATCTCCACGACCATGACCACAAATTGCTCCTCTAACAATGATGAAAGGCGAAATACAGAGATGTGGGCCAAAAAATGAAGGTGTCCTTGAGCGCTTCATTCATCCAACTCTCCACTCGTTCTCCATTCCTCTATTGTTATATTCCCAACCTTCCTCAACCAATGGCTCTTAATTTCCATCTGCGCTCATTCTGAATAGAAAAAAACAGCAATTTTTATAGTGGGAGTGTGGCTTTAGCAGCACAAAAGAAGGGATGGGGTAAAAACACAAGCTCTCCTCAGCATCTGTTGCCCATGACAACAAGCATCAGCGAGGTGATTGCACAGTAAAGTGGTGGTAATGGCCCACAGCACTCACCCGTGACAGCTTAAAGTCTTAATGATGCCTTTATGCCACACACACCCTTGGGAAGACACACAACACCTGTTAAATGAAACTCCTGTGTGTGAGCTTGTACAAATGATCCCTGTGAGGACTGGCTGGAACACTATGCATGTGTGTGTGGTTGTTTACCTGAGAAATCAAAGTCAGACTCATGAAACATCCATTTTTCTCTGGTGAGCTCAATTTACCAGCTCTTCAGTTTGAAGGAAATTGCATTCCCTATAGTAAAACTTTACTGTGTAGGCTATTTTAACATTTTTGGTTACACTTTATTTTACAGTACCTGTACTTAGAGTGTACTTATCCAAGAAAGTACTGGGTAGTATTAGGTATAGTAACTACATGGGCATTTGTATATATTAATGAATAATTAACTATATATATATATATATATGAATGAAACAAATATTTTTTTTTTCTTGGGCTTCCTGTTGCTTATCAGAATTTGATTTAATTGTGAAATATATGACTAACAGCTTAAAGTCTTAATGATGCCTTTATGCCACACACACCCTTGGGAAGACACACAACACCTGTTAAATGAAACTCCTGTGTGTGAGCTTGTACACACGCGTGGTTGTCAGATGTGGAGGAGTGTGCTGTAAAACATAGAGTTCGGTGAGCTAAAGATGGTGTATTATAGTGAGGGTGATCTGTTAATTGAGGGTGTGTCGGCATGTACAGAAGGGTTTTCAGTTTGTTTGTTTTCTTACACAGATACAATGAAAAATGCTGTCTTTGTTTAAAATTATTTATTTTTATTCTGTATTTTTTGTATAAATGTATTCTTGTAATTGTATAATAATAATAATAATAAATTTTTTCCAGATAATTTCATCTTTAAATGAAACTAGATTTTACCTTCAGTCCATTATATTATTTAAAAAAAAAAAAAATCCATATCCAATCATCACAAATGAGTTGGAAAGTTATGGAGATTCATTGCTCAAACTGTGGAAACTCAGAATATAGAGAATCAAGTCTCAAATGCATGTTTTGTCTTCCCGCAGTCGTCCTGGTCTGCTGAATGCCAGTGATTCGGGATACCCCTGGCTCGCTGACTCCTGGCCGGCCACCAGTCTGCCTGTTAACAGCGGTTCTGGAGGACCCAACGACCTCAACAACTTCGGCCGTGGAGGTAAATCGACTCTTAGACCCATTGCTGCATTGGCTAGGAATTTAAGAAATATTAAACTGGAGAAATTGGTTGTAGTCAAGTGATAAAAGCAAGTTCTCTCCATCAGTTGAAAAAAAATGTCCTCTTTCCCTTTTATATTTCTGGGCAATGATTCATTCAGGATGTCCTACTGTTGTCCGTAAGATGAACACCTGTATGCATATTGCATCGGCCATTTTTGGACACACATTTATTTATCATAATCGACTCTTAGACCCATTGCTGCATTGGCTAGGAATTTAAGAAATATTAAACTGGAGAAATTGGTTGTAGTCAAGTGATAAAAGCAAGTTCTCTCCATCAGTTGAAAAAAATGTCCTCTTTCCCTTTTATATTTCTGGGCAATGATTCATTCAGGATGTCCTACTGTTGTCCGTAAGATGAACACCTGTATGCATATTGCATCGGCCATTTTTGGACACACATTTATTTATCATGCGCTGTGACAGACTTATATCGCCACCCGCATCCTGCTGTCATGCTGAAACTAATGGCTGTGGTTCTGACCCACTGTCAGACAGAGGAAGGGCCGATAGCGGAGGAGAGGGGGTGGTGGGGGAGCGAGGAAAAGATGGTGGGGGAGCAGTGAGTCGTGAAGGACAGCCGCAGCTTGAGTGGTGCAGATGCAGCTGCTGTATATCATTTTCTCTTCAGTACACACATATACACACACATGTAGAGTTACAGCATTATTTCCTCCTTCACAAGTGCGAAGGAAAAATGCAAATGAAATATAGTAGCAGTGAGTCAAAGGGAAAGGATGAAAAGAAACTAAAGGCCTGTTCACACCAAAAGTATTGCATATTCACAAAACGAACATTCAGTATGATTAATTATTTATTTTACTTATGTAATATATGAATGAAAATATGTTTA